CTTTATCCTCACGACCACCAGAAAGATACCAGGATGTGCCACGTAGACCCGGGACTACTAAACTATAAGAAGGGACTCTGGTGGGGGTGAGGTGCGCGCCGTTGGTGGAGCAGGAGACTCCCCGGCCGCCCAGCGCTGTTTTGCCTGCTTGATTGCTTGCTTGAATAAATTCGGTCTTGATAAATATAATCGGCCTCAAACGCTTATTACACTGGGGATGGGTTTGGTCTAACTGACTCGCCTGATAGCAGCGGGATGGGATGAGTTGTGTAGCAAACTTCCTCCTCCTGTTTATGCTTTAATCTTATGAAGACAACTTGAGCTCTGTGACCACACAAGGGACTGCCCAATCTCAAGATTTTTTTTTTCCTCTGGAAGAACTTGGATTCAAATTATCTGGCCTAAAATCATAGACTCGTTTAGGTTGGAAAAGACCTTTGAGATCTTCAAGTCCAACTGTCATGTATTGGAAGGATACTGATCCTCAGTTTGTCAAACGAAGACTTCAATTACTAGCACGCAGTCACCTGTCTGATTGTGCCAGGGTGTTCTACAGACATAAAATGGAATTATTGTGAAGCCTGGTAGGTAAATTCCCAATTTCACAGATAAAAATGGAGGTAGAAGTTGAGAGATTTATGACTTTGATAGAGAACACACAGAGCTCTGGACAAGACGTCTATCAATAAAGCCACATGCCAGGACAGGAAATATGACTTAATGCTGTGCCTGTTAATTTTCTCACACACGCAGCCTCTTGAAATAAAAATATGTTCCACACTACACAATATTTTTGTAGAAAAGCACATACTTATCAGGTAGTAGTTGTATGATCATTCAGCGGTAAGGATGTGTGAAGAATGGGAATTGTAGTTGCCCTTGGTGTGTTCACAGTGTGATGTTCAAGGTTTTGCATTGTCCCTGGTGGCTTTCCTTGACCTGCTGGAGGGGAGACCTAGGGCTGGAAGTTAGGATCCAGCCCTGCGGCCTCTCTAGGAGACCATAAGCCAGTCATTCAACACAATGTGTGCCTTGGGTCCCCATCCCTGTAGGTGGGATAGTATTTCTTCTCAGGGAGTGAGGGCAACAAATGATTAAATCTCAAATGTTCACATGCCAGAGTGATTGAAATTTTCTCTACCCCTAAAAAGAGCTGGATCCAATTTACAGATCTCTTCAGCTCACAGGCTAAAATCTAACTCTTTAGAGAATTTTAAGGGGTATCTTCTAACTAAGAAGAGTCTAGATGAGTATTTGCCAGACAGAGGTGTGCATTTTATCCTTTATTTACCACTTCTAATTCCTCCTTGAGAAAGAACTGAAGCCACAGCAGTTTCTGCTGTGCCAAGACACCCTGCCATTAATCAGAAGTGGGATTATTAAAGCACTTTTCCCCGCTAGCGAAAAAATCCACTTATAGAAATACAGTTTATAAAATACAATTTGTAACTGTCTCACCTAAACAGCCTTTTTAGAGACAAACATCATTAGTGCTGGAACCACCTCGCTGGTCGCTGGTGGTGGCTCGGTGCGATCCCAGCTCCAGGTGACTTCTGCAGTGCCTGTCCCTCGCCCTCCCCGGGTGGGGCAATGAGCTGAACGGGCTCAGAGGGGCTGACGGGTGGAAGCAGTTGCTGTGCTCATGTCCTGCTTAGGAGATGGCCATAAAAGCAGCAAGGAATCCTGAAGAGAAAACTGGACTAAGGAATGAATTAAGAGAAGCAAGAATAAACAGACTGGTAGACCGAAAGCCTGTCCTTCCCATGGCTTCCTCTTCGCTCCCGAGCCTGCCAGAGGTGCTTGAAAGAGGATGTAACGCTGCTGCTGTCTCCCAGAGATGACAGATCATGTGTAGTTTGGGCTTAGCCCATCAGACTACTTTTTCTGGGGACAGAGTTGGGTATAGGCATGGGTTGGAGGAGAGAGCATGCATAGGGAGTGCCCAGTGCGGGGTAGATCCTCCACTGGGCACACCCGTAACCTTCCAGTTTCTTATCAAGGGGAAGGAAGGTTCTAAGAAAAAAAAAAACCAGTCTTGAAGAGATTTGTTGCAACACTTAGGTCAAATTTACTAAAAGAGCTGAGGAGGCAGTTCTGTTTCACTTCCCGCTCCTCGCCAGGCACTGCACCTCCCATCGCCTGTGCCGTGCTGCGGCTGGGGCCCCGCAGCTGCGCACGCCTCTCGTCCTGTCTTGCTGACCCTGCTGCCGCAAAGGGTTCGCCACCCGGCCTCCCATGAAAAGCACGCAAGATACGTCGTTTCCGGGAAAAGTACTCAAAATACACTTGCTTGCAATCATTTGCTCCTCGATCCATAATTTCAGTTCATCAGCTAATTAATCGCTTAATCAGTTAATAAGGCTAATCACTCTTCCCTGGAAGGTGCTCACAAGAAGAGCCAGGATAAATTGCTCCCATCTGGTTTTCCGTTCCTGTCTCCCACTTCTCCGTTTTTGGGCTCTGGGCTGGTGTTAGCAGATCCACTCCAGCACCGTGGCTGTTCCAGTCCAAAACCTTCACCGCCATCAGCCTCCACCTCAGCTTGGGGCTTGCTGGAGAGCTGTGAGCTCCGCAAGCTGGCTCTGCATTGAGCAGCAGCGTCCTCCTGCTGAGCGAGGACAACACACAGTGTTACCAGAGGTTTGCCAGGTTTTAATGAAGGAGAGCAAGTTCAAGCACCCAACCCGTTAAGGGGCCTTTTCTAGAAAATCGATCACCTCTGCCTTGACTGAAGATGCCTTGGAAAGCCTTAAGACAGGGCTTGCTTGCCAGCTTTGCGTGACTGTACTTCCACTCAAAGAGGCAGCTGAGGACTGGAAGACTAATGTTCACGTTAGAACACCATTTTCCAGTTGTTCCTTTTCTCATTCTTATGACAAATGCATCAAAAATAGCCAGCTGGGTTCTTTTTCCTCACTAAACAACAAACACACTGTATGCCTGTGCCATATGCTTAGCCTCCACTGCCCTGCGCTTCTTGACAAACCCAGAAACCAAGGGAAATAGCCTTCAGCCTTAACGCCTTCCCCCTGCAGAGAAGCCTGACGTTTACACACCTCTTCAGGTCAGGCTCTTCTTCCAAAGTCGTTGTCGTCGTCTGTAAAGCAGCAAAACTCATTGCTGGCTGCTGGGCTCTTGTTGCAGCCAGCCTTGGCCGTATATGAACTGGCCCCTGCCATAGGCCAGTGTTCACAGGCTGGGAAGCCCGCCGTCCTTCCCTGCCCTTCCGCTTCGCATCCCATCTTTCCCATTGCTCTTCTATCTGCCTTCTCATTCTGCTGTTCTCCCAGGCCAGGTGCTTCGCTGCAATGCGTGGCCTCCTTTCCAGCACCTTCATCCCCCTCCCGGGTGCCCCGGAGGCTGAACTATAAACCTGCCCTCCTCGCATGGCAGTTGCTCACCAGCTTTTGCAGGGAAATGCTTGATCGGATTTTCAGGAACCCTGGAAAAATGGCCATAAAGCAACTTTACTGTGCACGTGCTGCGAATCTGATTTTTAATTTGCTGCCTGTGCGATCTAGCGGGGCTGGGAGCAGGTGGCATCTGGCAGATTCGCTGCGTG